TTTTATTTATATGTAGTATGTATTTTTAAATTTGTTTTTGAAGTTGCTAAAGATTTTAATGCTTTACTTAATGAAACAGTCTGTTTAGTAGGGGATGAATCTTGACAGGCTGTTAATTTTATAGAAGCTAATGTTGACCTTATTTTAAATATAAGTAAGTTGTTTTTTATTATTATTTTTTTATTATTATTGGTTTTAAATAGTGTTAGATATTCAATCGTATTTTTTATGAATCTAATAATTTAGTAGAGTGTTATTGTCTGGAGGTGTTTGATATTCAGGTAAGATTTTATTAAGTTAATTTATTTTAAAAGAATCTTTTAAAATTTACTTATTAAAAATTTTACATTTGCGTTTTTTTCAATTCCAAATTTTGTTTCTATTTTTTTTAATATTAAGTAAATTTTTGGTGAAAGATTCTGTTTCTGCATTAAACACTATCAAAATTTTAGTCAGTAGAACATGCAAAATATTGAAATGATTTGCTGCTGTGACTGTGTTTATGATTATCCACGGCAAGATGGTATTTTATTGTCAGTTAAGATTTTGTGAATACTTTAAACTGAAGTTAATCTTTTTTATGTATTATAAATTATTTTGTATTACAAACTTTTTAAATTTTGTTATTTTATTTCTTTAGTTCTACTTTGGTACTTTAGCAACTATCATAAGTTTACTTGGTCTACTGTTAAATATGGTTTTAACTAAGTAAATTTTAATTATTTAAAATTTACTTTGTTGATCATTAGCTAATAGTTTATAAAGAATTTAGTCTGTTGCCATCAAGGTAAAAATAATTTTGTGTTTCAGTCAAATTACAAAATTTGTTTGGACTTATAGCTTTTATGTTTCGTTATTTTGTTTAATTGACTTTTTCATTAATTTTGTTATAAATTCCTTTTCATTTCAAATTTTGCCCGTTTTTAAAAATGCTATATAAAAATAGCAGCAGGCAAATTGATTTGTAGTATTATTATATAAAGATTATTATATAAAGATGTTTTTAATTCTATCATATGATAATTTTTCATCGTAGATATATCTTACGATGCTTTTTCAGCATATTGCAGTTCGCGAGGCACATAAGTTGTGGGCCCGAATTTAGAGCAAAAGCTCGCTCTCCTCCGCCATTTTTTTTTCTTTTTCTTTCTTAATAAGGATCCTGTAAAAAATAAAATATGAGAAGGATCCTTAGTATGAATCCTGTAAAAAATAAAATATGAGAAGATAGCGGTGGGAAAATATTGCGCTATAACTTTAATTAGTATTTTTGTAGTTAGTTAATAATGCAGATGTAGTTGAATTTTTTTTTGTAAATAAAACTTTTATATATTTTGTTTCGTTATCATGTATAAATAAATTGATTTACAGTGGTGTTATTATTTCTTTTTTGAAAAAAACTTATTAGTTTGTGACATAGAATTGACTCGGTCGTTAAGTAGAATGCCAAGAATATATATGACGGTTATTGTTGATAAAGGTGATTAATAGGCAAGTAAATTATAAACTAACTTTATATTGATTTTATTTGTAGACCTAATAAATAGGAAGCTAACATAATTTAGGTAATTATTGTTTTCAGTTTTTCTCCCAATAGTTAATTAAACTTTGATATCTTATATTAAAAAAATATGACCATTCGAGTAATTATGACGGTAATGTATATATCTAACATGTAAACTTCATGTTCTGTAATTAGTAATCAGTATTTTTATAAAGTAGATAATATAAATTTTTACAGATTTACTTTAACTTAAAAATTTCATCTCCTTATTTTATAGCATTTCATCTCCTTATTTTATAATTTCATCTCCTTATTTTATATGCCGTTTTATAAAGTTTAATAAGTCTTCTGTTTATGAAACAGTGTTAAAAGATAATACAGCATGCCAAAGTGGTTGAAATGCTTCGCTTGGGTTAAAATCCTTTCGCTTACACTCATAATTTTTTTAAATATTTTCCAAATTTCTAGAAAACAAAGTAAAACGTTTTTAAAGGCCTATAGATATTATATGCATTACATATATATAAAGATATTATATATCATAACAAACTAAAGGAAGATAACTTTTTAAAACGCTGTGTAAAATTTCTAAAAACCTGAGAACACTGTTTGAAATTTGTTGCGCATATGTCATGGTAGAGATACTTTAGTTTTGGATAAATAAGTTTAGTCTGCGCATTTAAGAGACAACTTTTTCTCTAATAGAAAAAAAGTTTTACAAGCAAACTGAAATTTTCTTGAAAATTAACTGGGCAAGAGTCCTAACAAGTACCGGATGACATGAAAAAAAAATTATAGTCTGAAACTTAATAAAAAAAAACTTAACACAAACAGAAAACCCAAAAATGCTAAAATTACGTCATAATTTTAGTTCCGCCAAATCCGGTAATAGGAATGCTCAAATATAAAATAGAAATATTAAATGATTTTTTTATTTCGATATATGCGCCAACTCTTAAACGACTGTAAAACTACCTTGCGGTTAATTAATTAAAT